TCCAACTCTTATAGATAATATTCCTTTGATAACACCACAATGCCCCCCCCCCCCGCGGGTCTGATCACTATATTGTCCTTCCTGGAAAGTCTCCTTAATACCTGTTTGTATACCAATATTGGATGACACTTTAGGAATTTTAAGTTTTTCTAGATCCTGATATACCATACGTTTGAAAACCTCCACCTGATTGTTATTAGATATCTGTGGGTTGAAAAGTGACTTATTCCTCAATTTACTATGTACAATGTCACTGCTAAAACAATTAGCTATATTACTTTTGGCTCCTGGTAGCCCCATAAAGTATTTTTTAATATTTAACTTTCTAATGAACTTTTGAGCATCTATATAGATGTCAAATTTGTTAGCTGACTAAGGTGGTGCATATTTGAGACCTTTGTCCAATACCATAATTTCTTCCTTAGTAAGGCTACATCCGCCTAAATTGAAAGCTCCTTCCCCTATTGTTCTCTTTTTCTTTTGTTTTTGGTGCCCGGCTCTGCACCCCCTCCTCTTGTGGGGCTTCTCCACCTTAAATCTGGGCTCCTTATCATCCTGTCTCTGTCTAAAAAATCCCTCTGAGGTGGATCATAACGCAATGGCTCATATTTATTATACATTGGTAGAGGACTTCTTCTCTCTCCGTTGTATTGATACCATCTCTCTTGTGGATGATGCCTCGGGCTCCTCTCCTGGTAATAATTATTTGTTGGTCTCTGATATTGATCAGGTCTATATATGGGCCGAAATTCTCTGGTTTATGATAGTGGTTAGGTCTCCCAGACTGGTAATTGGTCTCCAAAATTTACCACTTCCTCTCCCTCTTGGTTTCTTATGAAATGAATCCCCATTCCTTGGTTTCCACCCATTTCGGGGTGTTTGGAAACCTGGACCATTATAAGGATGATAACTTCTGTAAACACTACCACTCCCACAAAAAAAGTAAGGATAGAAACATTGAGATTCCCCCAATTACAACAGAGGGAGCCATTTAGGAATCCGAATGTTTACAGAAGTAATCATCCTTATAATGGTCCAGGTTTCCAATTTTTTTAATTTTTTTTATTTAATATATTTTTATTTATTTTTATATACAGATATTTATGGGCATATTTTTATTTATTTTTTTAATTTTAGTATTTAATTTTAATTCAAATATGTTCCCTCTATCTGTTTTTTTTTAGTAGTAATGTATGGATTCCTCTTTCCCCTAATTTTTAATTTATTATTTACTACATTTATTATCAATTTATATACACAATAGCACTTTAGACATTAAGAAAGCTGGGACCACAGTTTCAAAGGTCACTGTCGGTAGAACACTATGCTGTCATGGTTTCAAATCATGCATTGCATGGAAGGTTCTCCTGCTCAAGTCATCACATGTCCAGGCCCATCTGAAGTTTGCCAATGACCATCTGGATGATCCAGAGGAGGCATGGGAGAAAGTCATGTGGTCAGATGAGACCAAAGTAGAACTTTTTGGTCTAAACTTCACTCGTGTTTGGAGGAAAAAGAAGAATGAGTTTGCATCCCAAGAACACCATCCCTACTGTGAAGCATGGAGGTGGTAACATCATGCTTTGGGGGTGCTTTTCTGCAAAGGGGGACAGGACGACTGCACTGTATTAAGGAGAGGATGAATGGGGCCATTTATTGTGAGATTTTGAGCAACAACCTCCTTCCCTCAATCAGAGCATTGAAGATGGATCGTGGCTGGGTCTTCCAACATGACAACGACCCGAAGCACACAGCCAGGATAACCAAGGAGTGGCTCCGTAAGAAGCATATCAAGGTTCTGGAGTGGCCTAGCCAGTCTCCAGACCTAAATCCAATAGAACATCTTTGGAGGGAGCTGAAACTCTGTGTTGCTCAGCGACAGCCCCGAAACCTGACAGATTTAGAGGAGATCTGTGTGGAGGAATGGGCCAAAATCCCTGTTGCAGTGTGTGCAAACCTGGTCAGGAACTACAGGAAACGTTTGACCTCTGTAATTGCAAACAAAGGCTTCTGTACCAAATATTAACACTGATTTCCTCAGGTGTTCAAATACTTATGTTCAGCAGTGCAAGACAAATAAATTCTTTAAAAATCATACAATGTGATTTCCTGAATTTTTTTTTTTAATTCTGTCTCTCAGAGTGGGAATGCACCTACAATGTGAATTTCAGACCCCTCCATGATTTCTAAGTGGGAGAACTTGCAAAATTGCAGGGTGTTCAAATACTTCTGTTCCTCACTATACATAGATATATAAGAAACATGTATTTATATATTATTAGTAGTGTTAATTTTTTTCCCTGCCATCACCGCAATAAGTAAGTGCAGCCGAGAATAGTAGATTAGTATAGGCTTCGGTAAAGTGGCCGCCGAATGCCCGCCTCCCAATTGAGATTGACACTCGGCTGTCCATATAAGAGAATTGCGGTTCTCCAGAGGGCGTATACCCTGATGAAGTCATGTGGCACATGATGCAACGCGTGGGTACGCAACGTCCTGTGATGCACTTCCAGGCGTAGAGGCCATATTGGTACACCCAGCCCATAGCTTGTGGTGAAAAAGCGTTTTTTCATGGGAATACATGTGAGTGTGCTATTGGCTACTATTTTGCATTGAGTAATAAAGCATTATTGCACTATGGAGGATATTGTTCTTTATATTTCACTAACATGATCCTGAGTGGAGAAGGTGGAGAGTGAGCTGTATTGCAGCACCATTGCCTTTAAGGAATCTGAGAAGAGTAAAGAGTTACTACGTTAAGCAGTATATATGACATCTGTCCCTGTGGTGAAAAAGTACCCTTAAGGATCGATTGGGGTGATCCTAAAAGCGTGTTGGACCCTAGGGTCAAGGTTTGGAGGTGAGCGAGTATTTCTGCTGTTATGAGGATTTGGCACCAGAGTGAAGATCACCAGTTCACTTCATCACTTGCATGATTTTTTTGTTTTGGAGAATCGCGTATATATGTTCATTGGACTTTTTGGGAGGATTTTGTTACTTATGCATAATTTTTGGCTATTTTATTAGTTTATTTTTCTCTTTAAGAAGGCACAGAATATTATTCATTAGTTTTATTTAGTGTTTATAAGGCACCAAACACTATTATATTTTCCCTTTATATAAGGGACCACGATTGTCTAATCACCAAGTTTATCCTGATAAGGATTCAAATAAGGGGGGTTTGTATCACGGAGTGTCACCACAAGTGTATATTGTGGTTATCACTAGAGTCGCACTTTATTGGATCCAAATGTGATCAGAGCACAGTGTGTTTATTTATTGGTTTGTAACTTATTAACATTATTACTACATTTATAATATTACAATATTTAATATCTTAGCAGCACACTGTATAGTTTATGCTGATATCATATTCAATTCTAGCGCTTCACTATTTTGTTTATTCACTTATGGTATAGGTTGAGTGATAGCAGCTTATAGTAGGTTCACCCATAGAAGTGCAGGAGGATCTATTTCTTTTTAACTGTTCCTGGAGTAATTTTCTAGGAAGTTCAAGGACATTTTCAAGTCAATTAAAAATGTATGGTAAAGAAAACACTGCAAGTCTTTGTCCTTTTTTTATCTGCAAATTTCACATTTGGACAGGCTCTCTTTATTACAGTCTCTACTATATCCACACCGACATTTAATTAAGAGGGCTCTTCTGGGTTACTTAATGTTATTTTATTTCAGGTCCTGTTTTCTCTAGTTTTTCCTACATTTGGAAGCTAAAACGGCCAATAAAGGTTTCCAAAAGACTCCAACACAAAAGTTATAGAAGTTTAATAAGGAGTGCTATTGTCTGATTAATAAAATCTAAGTAATGTCGTGTGTATTTAGATTTTATAGCATTTAACCTTCTTTCTGATATTTAATTTTTTTTATATACTGTAGATCTTAAAGTGAACCTGTGCTTTGTTTACGCTTTTATGCATCTAAAACCAGACAACCACAAGGTGCCAGTTATTTCCTTTGTTAGCCACAAGAGCCTGTACAGTTCCTCTCTCTGATTTCACTTGATTACTTGGGCCTGACTTCTCCTGGCTCCATGCATAAAGCTCCACCCACTTGTTCCAAAGTCTTCTAAAGTACACACTTAAACTCTAATAACCAAAAAAGCAGGAAAGAGAATTTTTCACTGTGCAAAAAGATAAAGAACATTAACTATAGGACTTTCATAAGAAACAAATTAATGGATATCAAAATGAAACAAAAAAAAACTATGACGTTAAATTTTTGCATAAAAATAGTAGCAGTATTAAATACTGATGCCAACTTTTTGATATGGAAATCGCATTGAGAAAAGTGTGACTTTTAAATAGTTAGCAATGCCTACTCTTTAAAAGCTACTTGTCAGAATTTTATTTATTTATTTATTTATTTCAGGTTTTATATAGTGCGGTCTTTTATGCAGTGCTTTTACATTTATATATATATATATATATATATATATTATATATATATTATTATAGTACAATCACATCAGTACCTAACCCTCAAGGGGCGTACAATCTAAGGTCCCTAATTTACATTCATACATACACATGATCCAATTAATCTACCAGCATGTCTTTGGAGTGTGGGAGGTAACCGGAGCATCCTGAGGAAACCCATGCAAACACAGGTAGAACGTGCAAACTCCGAGCAGGAGGTGCCATGGCTGGGATTCGAACCCAACTACCCTAGTACTGCCTGGTGGAAGTGATAACCATTTAGCCACTGTGCTGCCCAAATACTCTGCCATGACCATTATAAATTCTGATGGTGTTATCTTCACTTGATGGATTCTTCATATTGCAGTATAAATAAATGAAGAATCCTGCTCCAAGAGAGTGCCACCTTTGTTATGGTATTGTGAAAGGGGCTAGGAAACTAATGGCTTTGTCTGTGAGAGAATTAATTAGGCAGAATGGTGGAGTTATCTTTTAAACTGTATAGTATTTCCTTTTGCATGGTATAAACTACTCTTATGAAATATAAAATCCATTGCTTTCTTGTAGGTAACAAAAGATGCACAGATTGATTTTCTGAAGGCGCAGCTTGCTGAATGTCAAGAGAAACTCACACGGCTTGATTGGATGGAAGAGAGACTACAGGCTTTGGAGAATAGTATGAAAGGGAAATTAGTCATCGATGAGAGTGACTGGAACAACCTTCTCAGTCGTGTTCTTCTCCTAGAAACGGACCGATTGCTACATACCAAAAAGGTTTGCTAAATAAAAGAATTTCATTTAATGACAGTTTGTTGTTGTCTGATCAATTCAATCTGGTCTATATTTGGCCAACTGCCTTCTATTCTTGAGGATGAAAAAGATTGGAAAGGTTAGAAAATCTTGTCCAATCTTGGTTTTCCCTGAGATAAGCCTTTATTTTAGCATCCTGTGATATATTTGGTTTGGGCTTTCCTGACCCTCTATACAAATGTATGCCTTATCTGAGCATTGTGCTGATCTGCACAGCACCTGAAGCCTTTTACAAACGTTAATCGTATTATGCTTGAACCAAAAAATATGTTCTTTTGCAAATCAACCTTTTAGTGTTTTTAATACTTTACAGCAAAATCGCATTACATTACATTACGCAAATCAACATATTTCACAGATGTGAACTAGAACTGTTAAAACAAGGGCTGGCTTGTGTACATGTATCAGGGCCAAGACAAGGGAGGGGCAGGAGGGACAGCTGCCCTGGGCGCAGTGTTTTCATATGGAAAACTCCCCTGCACTCTGTATGTGGGCAAGACAACTGGGAGCACAGATCACAGAGGAGAAAGGGGCAATTTGGCATTTTCGCCTTGGATGCTGGATGACCTTCTCCTGGCACTAACATGTATTGATATGTATTAAAACATATAGCAAATGAGTCCTTATATTTCAGAGTTGGTTGTCTTAAAAGGGATGAGTCATTTGTGTGTGTTCCATAAACAGACCTTTTTGCTAGATATGCAACTAGCGTTTTTTTCAGATTCTCATCATAGATCAAGCATTGCAATACTATTTTATGCCAGGAAAGGTGGAGCGAAGGGGCAGTGAAAGTGTTGTAATTAGCAAAAATTTTGAAAAAAAAATACACAGCAGAGTCTGTTTTCCAGTCCAGATATGAAGACACTATTGTAATTAGCTCAGAAATGTCCGTAAGCCCTTGATGCCATCATGTAAAATCCAGTACCAGTGCCCCTTCCCCATATGATCATGGTTTTAATGCTTGTTTAGTCTAGGGTAATGCAGTAGAATACTTTCTTTATTCCTCATTCCCGTGACAGCTGGCGATCATCTTTACTCCCACTCCAGATCTTTAATGTGGGTGCCCCCTCAGCATCATCGCATACACTGTAGGACTAGCATTAGCTTCTGGTCCTGCACTGTATGTGAAGACTTTGGCGAGGGGGGCAGCCATATGATCTAGAGAAGAGGAACAACTTCTTCATGGAAACAGTTGTCCATACCAGAACCAGGAGTGGAGAAGCCATAGGATCGAGGAGTAAGGTAATCCTTTCTATTACATGTCCCTAGACTAAATGACTGTTAGATTCTTAATATATAGGGGAAGTGATTTTATAGCTTATTGAAGTTGAACTTTTAAACTATACTCTGAGCACAAACACTTTTAATTTAATTGTATTCCTGATGGCTACAAGAATAAAAATCCATGTTGTGTGCACCAGATGCCTTTGCAAACCAAGATATAGTATATTGTAAAAGTAGTGGTGACATAATAACTGTACTGCACATATGCAGAGCGTAGAGCAGGTCCCACTACTGCAGAATAACTGCAGAAAAATACAGGAATAATGTATATTACAAGACCAGTCACACTGCACAAAGAGAAAACCGCATTAACTGGCCTTGATTACGAAAAGCTCCTGCACATAGGCAACGTTTCACACTTGGTTTCTATATAGATCTGGAAGAAATAAACAAAATACACTAACATCCAAGTAAGAATACACATGCCTCTTTTATTTATCTCAGAGTTCCACTTTAAATATTTCTCTTGTAAGCATGAAGCTGATTCTGCTGATGATATATATCTCCTATATAAGAAAAGAAACAAAAAATGCTGCGCAAATAGTGGGGAAAAAAAAGGAAAAAACAGCTGCTGGCAAGACAATCAGGTCAATTGTATACAGGTATTATAGATAAATTGCCGCACTCAACTGTCAGAATTCAGAATTTGTCACATCCATATAGGTGATAACATAAATGAGTCCAAAATATTGAAATTAATAGTCCCAGTGTCTTCAATGTATTTAGTGCTCCACCACCAGAAAATGGTAGGACTCTTACCAGAACATATGGACCCTTATATAAGGGTTGCAAATGCATGAGATTGTATCCACCGAATCCCTCAGAAATGGAAGATGTTAAACCATGGTACTGGATGGAAGTATCACCTTCAATTCCTCCTCATTCTTAATCACGTTTAAATAACGTGTTTTATGCGATGGTCACCCCTTTGTCTTTCTTTGCATGGCTATACTGAGAGGTATTATCGTGAGATTAAGAATGAGGAGGAATTGAAGGTGATACTTCCATCCAGTACTATGGTTTAACATCTTCCATTTCTGAGGGATTTGGTGGATACAATCTCATGCATTTGCAACCCTTATATAAGGGTCCATATGTTCTGGTAAGAGTCCTACCATTTTCTGGTGGTGGAGCACTAAATACATTGAAGACACGTGGTGATCTTTTATATGGTTCACAACACTGCGACTATTAATTTCAATATTTTGGTCTCATTTATGTTATCACCTATATAGATGTGACAAGTTCTGAGTTGTGACACTTGAACACGGCAGTTTATCTATGATATATATCTCCTGGCTTTGCAGCTGTATTAAAGTTTATTATTATTAGTAAATAATAATAATAGTAATAATAATAATATTATTATTATATTCATTAAACAAAATGTTTGCTGTTTTCAGAAAGATTTGACAGCAGAATTCACTTCTATAAGTGAAGAGCATACGTCCAGCAGGATAACAAATGAGATTTCGCCAGGTAAGTGTCTTGTAAATGAAGTGCAAGCAAATGGGTTGGTATTGTATGTTTTCATTTACCTATAAAGTACACTTGCCCTTTACTTAATTGCCTCTGCCTGCCCAAGCATAGCCTGCTAGGTTAAATACATATTTTCCCCACTCTTTCCAGCAATCTTGACTGTGCAGCCCTGCCGCACATAGCTGTATAGATGGAGTACAGTTCACCAGAAGGAATGAATAGGGCAGTAGCACATATGAGCACTAGAGAAGAAGTCAGTACTGATTTTCAGGAGAAAGCCTGCACATCGTTGGCCAGAGCACTGCACAAAGATGATTGCTGGAATAGGGAGGAACGCAAGTTTTTAAAAAAGAGGTTACCCCAACATTTCATATTCCTGATATGTGCATGCCGTACCATGTACTTGTATGAAAAAGTATCCTGTCCTCTTTCCATTGCTTCTTTTCTGTACAATCCCTGGTGTTCCTGACAGTCCCTCTGCTTTCCAATTAAAAACTGACCAAACCAGGCAGGAGAACACAGCATGGTCAGTTTTCTGGCTGTGCTGGGAACTCAGCCTGCACTCCTCCAATGATTAGACTTGTTAACATGCCCATACACACTCTCACAGTCATTCACTGTGAAGAACAGTGTGCTGCTGTTTCTCTTCTCCTTATGCAACTGAGAACAGAGGGTATGTGATCACTTATAAAAAAGCGAAAAAAAGGTACAGTATTGATAATATTTTTGAACTTCTGTTTAATTCACATATACTTTAACATAGCAGGCAGCATTGGGGTTGGTGATGGCAATTATTTAATTAAAGACATTAAAAGTAAACTTGTACTTTGATCTGTTTTGCCTGTGAACAAAATTACATTTATAAAGTTTTGTCCAGCAATTTAATATCAAGTGATACGTCCCTCAGGAAAACCACTATATTATTTTGGACAATTTATTGCATAATTACTTATTATTTTTGTTGTTATTTATTTAAAATGTACCTTAAACCAAAATGTAATCATTGTGGTTCACACCACAAAAACATACTCCAGATGTGTTTTTGCTTACAGTTCACACCATATTGCGTTTTTGATATATTTTGCTGTGTTCCAGTACAGTTCTGTGCTGAAAAAATGCAGCATGTTCTACTTTTTTTTCTGCACTGGTCTGGGGGCCATTGGAATACATGGAAAAACACTGCGTGCATTTTTGATGCAGAAAAAATGCACTGGACTGCATCTGGTGTGAACTAGCCCTTTAGAGGGGTTCTTCCATAAGTTATGAATAGTAAACACACAGATATATAGTTTTGCCTTAACAGTTGCTTGTGCTTTTGATCCAGGATCCTTTTCAGAACTGCAGGCATTTAGGAAGGTGTGGCATAGTCACTTTATTCCTCCTAAAATACTTGTATTTCATTGGAGGTAACACTACTTGCTTTGAAAAGGAGAATAACTGAAAACCATGACACTGATTATTTTGCACATTTCTGAGCCTCTTAGTGAAATCAAAGTCAGATTATATTGATCTACCACGTTTGCAGTATTTTTAAAAATAAAAATAAAAATCCTATCCATGTGACCATTGATTCCATAGTATATCTTTTGTGGTGTTTTAATAGCGCTTGTTACTGACAGAATGCAACTTTACTGCCATCTAGTGACAAGATGAATATATATCTCTTCTAAAAGGAACTTTCAATTTCTTGTACAAACATATGATTTTAATAACCTATTAACATTATATTAGTTTTGTTAACATGTATTTAAAATGTCTTGAAGTGTGTTTTATTATGTAAAAATAATATGTCACAGTTTTAGACTAACACTGGTCTACTTTTTATCTATTATTAGCGCTAGCGGTTTCCTTATCTTCACAGTGATCAGCAGCACATTCTTAAGTACCAGGTTTAGATTTCATGTTGTCTGGGTTACTTGCTACTGCTCTGTGTCTATAATTTAACACTAAGAATTGCACTGAATGCTCCATACAGACTGGTAACAGTAGCGTTTCATGTAAACATTGTATGTGCATTCTGAGTACAGTAAATCAAGTTGTTTGATAGGCGATGCAGTAAACAGACAAAGGTTATTTTAAAATGAACATCTCTTCACAGACTTTAACACCAAGGTAGTTATCCCAGAAAGCAATCATCAGTCGTCTGGATACAATTCTCTGCTATCTGCAGACACATCTCCCATAGCCAATGACATCAATTACAGCTGCTTGACAGAAGACTTAAAGGTAAGTCAAACTGGGCAATGAATCAGTGAATTCCATTCCAAGGTCAAAAGAACAAGTAAGCATTACCATATATAAATGTTTTCTGAGCTGTACTGATATAACAGTTATTGACACTAATGAGCAGTGTAAAGAAATGTGAGCATGATGATTTTTACTCTAAAGGAGAAGATACAAACTGTGACTAAACTGTAATGAGCAATTTGTATTGCCAAGTGTTCATTTGGCTCGTACCAGTTATGTCCTCAATCCCCCAATAATGTAGATTAGTCCCTGGTTCCATGAATATTTCAATCCAAAGTGTGGTATATGGTAGTGATCATTACAGAAAACTGTACTGCTAATTACAAACAATTATCTAGCATGGTAGACAATGTATTTTCTTTCTCATTGAGGGACACTGAAAGTTATTCACCCCTGGGTAATACTGCCACAAAAAAAACAAAAAACTGTAGGCCTATCCAGGATAACCACACCTACTACTAGCATGCCTTACTTTATTAAACAAAACACAAACAAGAACGGCACAAACCCTAGAAAATTGTCTTTGGCACTTTATTAAATGGCATAAGAAAACATAATATACGCACAAGCCAAATGAGCTAAAGGTATGTAGATACATAAAGCACAATTTCAGGAAGACCCTTTTCCAAATCCAAATGGAGAAAGGATGACCTTGCCAGCTTACTCGTTTCAGGGAACCAATCCCCTTCCTCAGAGCTATGGCTATCAGTGTCATCCTTTCTCCAGTTGGAGTTGGAAAGCAGTCTTCCTGAATTTGTGCTTTGCGTATCTACAGTGGTGTTCAAAATAATAGCAGTGTGTTGAAAAAAAGTGAATAAAGCTCAAAATCCTTCTAATAGCTTTTATTTCTATACACACAAATGCATTGGGAACACTACACATTCTATTTATTCCAAATCAAAAAACATGAAGAAAAATATATCAATTTTGTGTTGTTCCTCTAAAAAAAAACTGAAGAAAACTGAATATTAGACTGTTAAAAAAAATAGCAGTGTTTGTATTCTTCTTTACAAACTCAAACATTCACTATATAAACTGAAAAATATTTGAAGATTTTGCTTTCCTTTGAATCACTTAATTAATATTTAGTTGTATAAGCACTGTTTCTGAGAACTGCTGTACATCTGTGTTGCATGGAGTCAACCAATTTCTGGCACCTGTGAACAGGTATTCCAGCCCAGGATGATTGGACTACATTCCACAGTTCTTCTCTATTTCTTGGTTTTGCCTCAGAAACTGCATTTTTGATGTCACTCCACAAGTTTTCTATTGGATTAAGATCCGGGAATTGGGCTGGCCACTCCATAACGTCAATCTTGTTGGTCTGGAACCAAGATGTTGTACGTTTACTGGTGTGTTTGGGATCGTTGTCTTGTTGGAACACCCATTTCAAGGGCATTTCCTCTTCAGCATAAGGCAGCATGACCTCTTCAAGTATTCTGATGTATTCAAACTGATCCATGATCCATGCGATAAATAGGCCCCAACACCGTGGTATGCGATAAATTGAGCCCATGCTTCACTGTCTTCCAGTGTACTGTGGCTTGAATTGATTTGGGGGTCGTCTGAAAAACTGTCTCCCCACAAGACCCAAAAAGAAACAATCTTACTTCATCAGTCCACAAAATGTTGCCATTTCTCTTTAGGCAAGCAATGTGCTCTTTGGCAAATTGTAACCTCTTCAGCACATGTTTTTTTTTTTTCAACAGTGGGATTTTCGGGGGCTTCTGATTGTTGGCTGAGCATCTTCTAATTGTAACAGTACTCACATTTTGGAGCTGATATTCTTGCCTATTAATTCGAATTCGAATGGTAGTTTTTCGCTTTCTTCCACGTCTTTCAGGTTTTGGTTGCCATTTTAAAGCATTTGCGATCCTTTTAGCTGAGCAGCCTATCATTTTCTGCACTTTTTTATACGTTTTCCCCTCTCCAATCAACTTTTTAATCAAGGTATGCTGTTCTTCTGAACAATGTCTGAAACGACCCATTTTCCTCAGAATTTCAGAGAGAAATGCACTGTAACCAGCAAGTACATCATTTGCTGCCTTTCTTTCTTAAATAAGGGCAATAATTGCCACCTGTTTTTCAAAGAATGAATGACCTCACTAATAGAACTCCACACTGCTATTATTTTGAACATGCCCCTTTCAATTAGTGATTCAATTACACAGAATCAGCAGCATGCATGTCATGACTGTTGGGTCTGTTGGATTTCTATTACTCTACTACACCTGCTAGTAAATTATGTGCCATGTAGAAATATCATTTCCATCAAAAACAGTGATTGATCAGGTTAGTGATGTATGACTGCTATTATTTTGAACAGAACTGTACATGCCTTTAGCTCTCTTGGTTTGTGAGTATATTATGTTTTCTTATACCCTTTAATAAAGTGCCAAAGCTAATGCGCTAGGCGTTTGTGCTCTTTCTGTTTTTGTGTTTTGTGCAGTGTTGGATTTCCCTGATCTGAGGAGGACTGCACCACCATATTTTTACAGTCCGAATTGCTGAAAATGTTTGAGATTTATGGTTCACGTGATTGGTGCCTCTACCATTTCTGAGTGCTTGAAGTCTCAAGTTTGCATGTTCTTTCTTTCATGTCTTAGTTACTTGCTAGTTTTCTAGGCGGACAAACCTCTTTTCTTCAGCTCTGCTGGATGAAAGACTAACCTATTTTTGCTAACAAAATTTTTTTTTCTTTAAACGAGACTTTTTTTCTTTTTTTTACACTGCTGCTAAGCTGGCCCCTCTGCAAGACTTGAAGCAATAGTGGTATACCAGATCCTGTCATGGGCAGAACTTCAAGTTCTAGTCTTGTCGGCCATTTACATCCCAGGCATAGAAAATTTGCAGGCATATTTCCTCAGCTGGCAATGTCTGGATCATGGGAGTGATCCCTACACCCAGAGATGTTCCAGGACCTGTGCCTAGGTAGGGGACATCAGAGGGACACCAGACCCTAGAGTCTATGCTTTTCCTCCCTTGAAACGTTATGTGCTTTACAGGATCAAGATGGAGGGCATTCCATTGATCCTCATTGTTCTAGATTGGCACAGGCATACAGCGGGTAAAATAAGTATTCAACACGTCACTGTTTTTCTAGATAAATATATTTCTAAAGGTACTATTGACATGAAATGTTCACCATGTCGGAAACAACCCATGCAGTCCATATATACAAAGAAACCAAAACAAATACATTCAGAAGTTATGTTATCTGCAATAAAATGGAATAACACAGGAAAAAGGTTTTGAACACGCGAACTGAAATTTATTTAATATTTCGTACAAAATCCTTTGTTGGTAATGACGGGTTCAAGATGCCTCCTGTTTGGAGAAACTAGTTGCATGCATTGCTCAGGTGTGGTTTTGGCCCATTCTTCCACACAAGTATTCTTCAAATCTTGAAATCTTCAAGTCTTCAAATCTCTTCTATGAACTCTGATATTTAGTTCTTTCCATAGATTTTCTATTGGATTCAATTCAGGTGATTGGTTGGGTCATTCTAGCAGCTTTATTTTCTTTACTTTGAAACTAAATGAGAGTTTCCTTGGCTTTGGGTTTGGCATCGTTGTCTTGCCAAAATGTCCTCTCTTGTTTCATCTTGATCATCCTGAATGTCATCCAAGAATGCCTTGGTACATTTTTCCATTCATCCTTCCTTCAAATATAAATTTTGCCAGTACCATATGCTGAAACGCAGCCCCACGCCATGATGTTCCCACCTCCAAACTTCACTGTTGATATGGTGTTTTTGGGGTGATGGGCAGTGCCATTTGACCTCCAAACATGGTGTGTATTATAGTACAAAAAAAGGCGGGGAAAAGGGGGCAAAGGAAAGCCAGACAGTCCACCAAAAATCATTGTAAGGCGAGGTGCCTCCAGAACTATCTGGAAGGATGTTACCTAAAGCATACAATAAGAAAAAACAAAGAAAAAAGAAAATAGCCTACACACCTGAAAGGCTAACCTCAAAAACATGTTTATTCATGAAAAACATACAAAGTAAAAACACATTGCATCAGGGACCTGGTTACCACTCCTGACCGTAAAAACACCACCCCTCACATTGGGGGACCTCCCACAGTGGTCACTCTATCGATTGTAGCAAAGAGTGTCCCCAGTGTGTACACAGCATCTGCACTTCCCTTTTAAAAGCCGACTCACCTCCCTCATACCACAAACACCTCTCAACAATCCCCCCAAAAAACAAAAAAGCCCCCAAAAGTCCTCCCAAGGTACCCCAACACTCCTCCCACAATGACCCAACCACCCAGAAAGGAAAGAAGGGAGCTGAGGTGTAACACTCACCCACTATGGCCCTCCTACCCCCCAGACCCTGCTAGATCTAATATCTCATCTACCAACACATTGTATAAATAGGACAATATAATAATTCCTATGGGTAATGATTGACTGCAGTCAATAGGCCAACCTCAATACAAAAAAAAAAAAAGGTCAAGACCTGAAAGGAGATAGCAAGTGTGAAGGGCTATAGCCTCTGAAGTCCAGCCTAAACAATCAGGTCAATAGTGCACTGAAAAAAGATATAAAATATGGTATGGCCTATCCAAAGGAAAATAAAGAAGAGTATCTGTAATGATGTCCGGCAAAGTGTGTCCACTATAATGAGGTCCATGAATGTGCACTGTGTCATATAATCCACATGCAGCCTGCAGTTGTAGAAGCAGGTTGATGACCAGATATTAATGGACCATAGCAGCCTTCCAAGGGTAAGCCTCCAAGATCGAGTCCAATCAACATATAGATCAGAAGGACATAGGTGGTAACACAGCAGCGGAAATAGATGAAAATATGTGATATGAGTACCTGCCACAGCAACCTCGATGTATGTAACCAGTCCAGCCTGTGCAAACCTGCACAGCTGATACGACCTAGATAGCAACACTGGGTCATCTGTACACACTGTATGATGGGACCAAGAAGGTCCTGTACATCAGGCCACAGCTTGTAGTCCCAATATTGAGGGCATGTCCTGTAGCTGCTCTGCTAGTGATCCAATTATGGCTGCCGACCGTGCATCATGGAAAGGGATGCCATATCCGTAATGGTAAAATCCTCTGGATGCACCATGCAGTGTGTGGGTATCCTGCAGGGAATGGAGGGAGGGGAGCATGTGACCACACTGCTGCGTTTCATCCCGCCTACTTCTGGGACTTCTTCAGAGCACTTCAGCAATGGAGTCTTACGTGGCGGTTGAGTGCATTGCTTTTTGCTTTTCTTGAAACAATTGTACCTGCTACTTCCAGGTCTTTTTGGAGCGCTCCACAAGTGGTCCTTGGCTCATGGACAACTCTTCTGATAATTCTTTTCACTCCTCTGTCAGAAATCTTGCAAGTAGCACCTGGTCGTGGCCAGTTTATGGTGAAATGATTTTCTTTCCACTTCCGGATTATGGCCCCAACAGTGCTCACTAGCACATTCAGAAGTTTAGAAATCCTTCTTTACCCAATGCTATCTGTATGTTTTGCAGCTATAAGGTTGTGAAGGTCTTGAGAGAGCTCTTTGCTATTACCCATCATGAGATGTAGGTTGTGTGAGACCTTGGTAATGAGACACCTTTTTTATAGGCCATCAGTTAAGACTGAACCAGCTGATATTAATTTGCACTGACAAGGGGCAGGATTGCTTTCTAATTACTGATAGATTTCAGCTGGTGTCTTGGTATTCCATGCCTTTTTGAACCTCCCTTTCTTCATGTGTTCAATCCTTTATCTCTGTCTTTCCATTTTATTACACATAACTTAATTGTTTTTGTTTTGTTTTTTTATGTATGGATTGCATGGGTTGTAACAACAATGTGAAAGTTTCATGTCAATAGCACCTTTAGAAATATATTTACCAAGAAATATGGTGATGCGGTTAATACTTATTTTACCCGCTGTACTGTATGTGATACTCTGACCTAGTAAGACTCCTGGAAGATGGTTAATGGCTTTATTGAATTGTCAGGATTTTCTTTCTCAAGCACAGATTTTTCCATTAAGTTTCATGGTTGCTGGCTTTGATGGCATGGCTGTCGGTTCCAAGCTTGAGAGACAGGAAGCTAGGAAGTTTACCTATCATTGGTGATGGAAGGCATACGTCACTTGATGTAAGTCTCGGGTTTTCTAATAAAGGAATTTATCAGTAGGGTAATCCTCTCCTTCCTACAGCTTGGTCTGGACCAGTGTTTGGCTTTCTACACCATCAAAGATAAAGTTTCTATTCTTTCTCTCATTTCAGTGACTGTTGGCCTTTCATTTCTTGATTAGGACCTTTGTACAGGGTGTATCTCATGTTTCTTCCCCTGTTTGTTCCCCTGTAATTCCAAGAGACCTGAATGTGGTTTTCTCTGCACGTCAGAAACTGCCATTTGAACCCATTAGAGACATACCTCTCTGTTACCAACAAGGTAAAATTCCTTATATCCATCACCTCTGTGATGTGAGCATCTGAACTGGTGGACTTATCCTGCAGGGAAACTTTTCTGGTTTTGCATGAAGACATGGGGGCGTTGAGGCCCATGACTTCCCCTCTTATTCTAGGTAGTTTCTGCCTTTCACCTCAACCAAGACATTGTTCTTACATCCCTCTATTTGCCTATATTTCAATAAAAAGGCATGTCCCTCTATTGTCTGGAAGTGGTTTTTAGGATGTGAGCCACTGCTTCCTGCAGAAGTGCTAATTTTCTTTTTGTCATCCTGGATGATCTCAAGGCTGCACCGCCTTCTTGCTTTACAATCTCTAGGTGGCTAAGACAGACCATCATCCAAGCTTACGGTATTGAAGATTGGGTTCTTTCTTTTTATGTCATGGAGCACTCTACTAGATCTATTAGTGCTTCATGGGCTGTTCACCATTATTCTAACCTTTCTCGTATTTGCATGGGTGCCTCCTGGTCTTCTGTGTACAGGTTCCCGAAGTTCTACCAGGTTGATATTGTGACCTCATTTGATGAGCTTTGAGGCAGCTTTGAGAGCTGTTATCTGTCCCCATTTTCTTTTGATGTCTTGGGCCTGTTATCATTCAGTGTGCTGTTAACCCATCAGTTGGACTGCTTTTGTATGTCCCAAAGATGATGACTTCCTGTGTCCCTCAATGGACGAGAAAGAAAATGGGATTTTTTGTACTTGTCATAAAATTATTTTCTTGGCTTCCATTGAGGGGCACAGATCCCACCCCTTTGTGTTTATGATCATGCTCTTGGTACTGCTTTTGCAAAACAGAGGAATGCTGGTGGTAGGAGTGGTTATCCTGGGCTAGCCTACAGTTTTTTGTAGACAGCAGTGAATGATTTCCTATGTCCCTCGAAGGATTCCAAGAGATGGATTTTATGGGAAGTACAAAAAGTCCTGTTGTCACCTTTTTGTTCATTGAGAGACACAGCTGTTGATTGAACATCAACCATATACAAGTGTGTATAAGGTTGGTGTGCATATGGTTGATGTTCAGTCAACAGCTGTATCTCTCCATAAACTCTCTCCACACAAATTCCATTTTACTCATGTGTAGCATCTTTCATAAATATAGTGCTTAGTAATTAAGAAAGATCATTTCACTACAAACAAACTGCTGCAGGTACCGTATTTTTCGCTCCATAAGACGCACCTGACCATAAGATGCACCTAGATTTTAGAGGAGGAAAACAAGGAAAAAAAAAATTCTGAACCAATTCACTGCAGACATAGTACAGGAAATGACCAGAGACTGCAGGCATAGTACAGGAAATGACCAGAGACTGCAGGCATAGTAAAGGAGATGACCAGAATCTTCGGACATAGTATAGGAGATGACCCTGTTTCACTTACCTTGTCCTGCGCTCCCGCGATGTCCCCCCTACAGCATCCCCGGCCATCTCCTCCAGCCAATGCTGGGATCCGTCTTCCAGGGTGCCGTTCCCTGTGAGCGCCGGGACGTGCAGGGGACGGAACCGGCGGGAAATTCAAACATTTTAAAAGTAACATTCACTCAATACACTAAAATCACACAGTAAAACATTACTGTATCAAACCATTTCACATACATTTTGTCCCGAGTGCTTTATCCTGTGCCCTGCCTGCATTTTTACTGTTCTTTCTGCCTGGAAACTGAGAAATGTCCATGGTGTCCAAAAAGCGTCCCTTTAGGTTAAAAGCGGTTTTAGACCAGCTAGAGAACAGCGATAGTAAATTAGAACCACTTGCAGAATTGAGTGATAATGATTCGTGGGGAAATTCGTCATCAGACACTGACGATTTTGTGACTAAGCTCAGTGATGTGCGAACTTGGCGCTATATTTCAAATTTCAGTGTTTTTGGTTTGATTACATTATTGAATTACATTTATTATTATTATATTATTATTATTTTTTATGATTATTTATTATATTATAATTTATGATTTTGTGTTTCAAATTTTATCATACCCGGGATGTTTACTAGACTCTTGTTCGGACAGATTTCATTGAGTTATTCCTAAAAATTACAGGCCTACAATAAAAATAAAACATATTTCCAAGTAAAAAAATGTACCGCTGTGAGCACAGAAATATTGACATAATCAGACTGCTAGGGAGGTTAAAGAGAAAAATGAAAATTCATTTTTTTGTGCCCAGTGTTCAGCTCTAAATATATGTTTACATGTTTTCCTTGCCTACTCCCAAGTCTTCCGCCTGCTGTTAGTCTTTGTCATACAACAAACATTTTTATTATGCTTTAAACAACTAACTTCATTGTATCCATTAACAGGAGCCAACAAAACAGAGAATGGATCGATTAGCTAAAATGTAAGTTACTTGTTCATACACTCAAAAGTTTCTAACTATTTGCAGTAGTAGTTTTAGATATACACTATATTGCCAAAAAGATTGGGCCAGCTCTCCAAATCATTGGATTCAAGTGTTCCAATCACTTCCATGGCCACAGGTGTATAAAATCAAACACCTAGGCCTGCAGACTGCTTCTACAAACATTTGTGAAAGAATGGATCGCTCTCAGGAGCTCTTGAAATTTCCTTGCTACTAAATATTCCACAGTCAATTGTTAGTGGAATTATAACAAAGTGGAAGCTATAACAAACTGGGAACAACAACAGCAACTCAGCCACGAAGTGGTAGGCCACGTAAAATGACAGAGCGGGGTCAGCGCATGCTATAGCGCACAGCGCACAGTCAATAGCTAAAGACCTCCAAACTTTGTATGGCCTTCAGATTAACAACAGTGCTTATAGATATTCATGGCATGGGTTTGCATGGTCAAGCAGCTGCATCCAAGCCTTACATCACCAAGTGCAATGCATGGCGTCGGATGCAGTGGTGTAAAGCACGCCGCCACTGGACTCTAGAGCAGTGGAGACGTTCTCTGGAGTGATGAATCCCGCTTCTCTGTGTGACAATCCGATGGATGTGTCTGGGTCTGGCGGTTGCCAGAACAGTACTTGCCTGACTGCATTTTGCCAAGTGTAAAGTTTGGTGGAGGGGGGATTATGGTGTGGGGTTGCTTTTTAGGGGTTGGGCTTGGCCGCTTAGTTCCAGTGAAGGGAACTCTTAAGGCATCAGCATACCAAAACATTTTGGACAATTTCATGCTCCCAACTTTGTTGGAACAGTTTGGGGATGGCCACTTCCTGTTGCAACATGACTGCGCACCAGTGCACAAAGCAAGGTCCATAAAGACATGAATGAGCGAGTTTGAGTTGGAAGAACTTCACTGGCTTACGCAGAGTTGACCTCAACCCGATAGAACACTTTTGGGGTGAATTAGAGCGAAGACTGTGAGCCAGGCCTTCTCGTCCAACATCAGTGCCTGACCTAACAAATGCCCTTCTGGAAGAATGGTCAAACGTTCCCATAGACACATTCCTAAACCTTGTGGACAGCCTTCCCAGAAGAGTTGAAGCTGTTATAGCTGCAAAGGGCCAACTCAGTATTGAACCCTAAGGACTAAGACTGAGATGCCATTAAAGTTCATGTGCGTGTAAAGGTAGGCGTCCCAATACTTTTGTCAATATAGTGTATATCATGTCTACAGTGGGGATCGAAAGTTTGGGCACCCCAGCTAAAAATTTGTATTAATGTGCATAAAGAAGCCAAGGAAAGATGGAAAAATCTCCAAAAGGCATCAAATTACAGATTAGACATTCTTATAATATGTCAACAAAAGTTAGATTTTATTTCCATCATTTACACTTTCAAAATAACAGAAAACAAAAAAATGGCGTCTGCAAAAGTTTGGGCACCCTGCAGAATTTATAGCATGCACTGCCCCCTTTGCCAAGCTGAGACCTGCCAGTGTCATGGATTGTTCTCAATCATCGTCTGGGAAGACCAGGTGATGTCAATCTCAAAGGTTTTAAATGCCCAGACTCATCTGACCTTGCCCCCCAACAATCAACACCATGGGTTCTTCTAAGCAGTTGTCTAGAAAACTGAAACTGAAAATAGTTGACGATCACAAAGCTGGAGAAGGCTATAAGAAGATAGCAAAGCGTTTTCAGATGTCAATATCCTCTGTTCAGAATGTAATTAAGAAATGACAGTCATCAGGAACAGTGGAAGTTAAAGCAAGATCTGGAGACCAAGAAAAATATCAGACAGAACAGCTCGCAGGATTGTGAGAAAAACAATTCAAAACCCACGTTTGACTGCAGGATCACTCCAGAAAGATCTGGCAGACACTGGAGTTGTGGTACACTATTCCACTATAAAGAGATACTTGTAGAAATATGGTCTTCATGGAAGAGTCATCAGAAGAAAACCTCTTCTACGTCCTCACCACAAAAATCATGTTTGAACTTTGCAAATGAACATATAGACAAGCCTGATGCATTTTGGAAACAAGTTCTGTGGACTAATAAGGTTAAAATTGAACTTTTTGGCCGGACTGAGCAAAGGTACGTTTGGAGAAGAAGGGGCACAGAATTTAATGAAAAGAACCTCTGTCCAACTGTTAAGCATGGGGTTGGATCAATCATGCTTTGGGGTTGTGTTGCAGCCAGTGGCACAGGGAACATCTCACGAGTAGAAAGAAAAATGGATTCAATAACATTTCAGCAAATTTTGGATGGTAACTTGATGCCATCTGTGAAAAAGCTGAAGTTAAAGAGAGGATGGCTTCTACAAATGGATAATGATCCTACACACACACCTCGAAATCCACGGGGGATTACATCAAGAGGCGTAAACTGAAGGTTTTGCCATGGCCTTCACAATCTCCTAACCTCAACATAATTGAAAATCTATGGATAGACCTTAAAAGAGCAGTGCGTGACAGACAGCCCAGAAATCTCAAAGAACTGGAAGACTTTTGTAAGGAAGAATGGGCAAAGATACCTCAAACAAGAATTGAAAGACTCTTGGCTGGCTACAAAAAGCGTTTACAAGCTGTGATACTTGCCAAAGGGGGCAGTACAAGATATTAACTCTGCAGGGTGCCCAAACTTTTGCAGATGCCATTTTTTTGTTTTCTGTTATTTTGAAAGTGTAAATGATGGAAATAAAATCTAACTTTTGTTGACATATTATAAGAATATCTAATCTGTAATTTGATGCCTTTTGGAGATTTTTCCATCTTTCCTTGGCTTCTTTATGCACATTAATACAAATTTTTAGCTGGGGTGCCCAAACTTTCGATCTCCACTGTATATTATATATGTGTTGTATTACAATTAAATTCTATTATATAATACACAAGGGGTCTTCAAAAAGTTTACATGTTATTTTAAATATATATTTAAAAAGTATGGAAACTTTTTGAACAACCCTAATGTATTTTGTTGGCCACCAGATGTTAGAAGCTAGCTGTTTTAGAAGAGAAAAGGTTAGTTACATACAAACTGTAACATACAGTGGTTGGATAACTGTACTTGTAATGCTCTTCTAATGTATCCAGAGATACCAAACTAGTTTGCATAGATAACCTCTTAAACTTGCCTTTTATTCCTATGTTCTTTGAAAACTGTCATCACATGCTAAAAAAAAAAATATATAAATTTCACTGTTTACATTTAATGTGTATGCATTCTACCTTCTACAAGGAGTGAGATCAAAAGTTGCTAGAAGAAGCTTTCTTTCTTAAAAGAGAAGTGTGGACTCATTTTTTTTTTTTCCCCTAATTATACTTACCTAGCTGGATTCAGCATTGGTCCGATGCTGCATCTGACCCCCGCCTGTTTCACTGAAGCGCTGGGCCGTGAAGGGGGAGGAAGCAGCTGGTTCAGGCTCTCAGCGGCTCACTGTGGTGCTGCTGCAGACTCTGGGGTGAATTCTGACTTTGAAGTCGGGATCTCGGTTTACAAATTTTTTTCACAATAGGAAGTGTATGTCGGTGCTGATTTTTAAATGCAATTGCCAGCTTTTTTTTTTTTTTCTTCACTATAGCTCACAAGATTAGCTGTGACTTTCCCTGGAGTTAACGGAAACTTTGTTTCTTTTAAAAAACTAAAAGGAAACATTGTTTCTCTTAACTCAGGAAAATAAACTAAAAGAAAACTTTCTTTCTTTTAGCTGGGGTAAAAGTGACAACTGAATTTCTGAGCTATAGTGAAGAATAAAAAAAAGTGGTAATTACATTTAAAAACTGGCACCATAATAAATAAAACAACGGCGTGGGGTCTCCCCTCCCATCCATACGAAGCCCTTCCGGTTTGGCATGGATTTTGAGGGGAACTCCCATGCCAAAATTGAAGAAAAAAAATTGCATGGGGGTCCCCCCCCAAGATCCATACCAAACCCTTATCCGAGCATGCAGCCCGGCAGGTCAGGAAAGGGGGGGTGAGACGAGCGAGTGCCCCCCCCCCTCATGAACCATACCAGGCCACATGCCCTCAACATGGCGGGGGTGCTTGATGGGGACAAGGGCCTCTTCCCCACAACCCTGGCTGGTGGTTGTGGTGGTCTGCGGGCAGGGGACTTATTGCAATTTGGAAGCCACCTTTAATAAGGGGGCCCCCAGATCCCGCCCCCCCCCCCCCCCCCATGTGAATGAGTATCGGGTTCATGGTACCCCTACTCATTCACAAAAAGTGTAATGTGAAAAAAGACAGGACACTGTCTTTGACAAGTCCTTTATTAAAAGAAAAAACTAAAAGAATGTCCCCTGGGGAAGAGGCCCTTGTCCCCTTCAACATGGGGACAAGGTGTTTTGGGGGTGAGCCCCCCTGCCCCAAAGCACCCCCCCATGTTGAGGACATGTGGCCTGGTATGATTCAGGAGGGGGAGGGGGGCACTCGCTCGTCCCCCCTCCTTTCCTAACTTGCCGGGTGGCATGCTCGGATAAGGGTCTGGTATGGATTTTGGGGGGGACCCCACACCCTTTTTTTTTTTTTAATTTTGGCGTGGGAGTTCCCCTCAAAATCCATACCAGTCCCGAAGGGCTTGGTATGGATGGGAGGGGAACCCCACTCTGTTTATTAAATTATTTTTTAATTGCTGGCAATTCTTTTACATTCAGCTGTCAGTGGGGAACCCCGCTGACAGCTGAAATATTAACACATGGTTATCACTACTAAAATACTGCATGACTTTAGAAAATAACTCATGCAGTATTTTAGTAGCGTTTACTTTTTCTGACCTTCGGAACGGATTAATTGGTTTTCAATGCATTCCTATGGGAAACGGCGTTTTGGTTTACAAATTTTTTCGCTATACGAAAAGTCCTGCAGAACGAATTAAATTCGTAAACCAAGAGATTTAGCTGTACTTCTTTAATGTTTAGCTACAAATTAGGAGGACCAAAAACAAAGAAGAATCTTTTTAAATGTGCATTCTGCTTTTCACATTTGATTGTCTGGATTTGACATGGCGAAGGGAATGGATGAACACAGCTTATCATTGGAACAGCAGAGTTAAGCTAAAGCACTAAGAGTTACTATTAGTTACACATTTTCAACAAGCCTGATATATTGCCTCTATGCATTTGCTATTCCTTCAATCAAATAATTACAAAAACAGATAAAAATCAAGCAGAAAAATAGTTGAAGATCTAGGAAATCTATAATTAAAGCAACAAAGAATATTTTTTTTATATTTGATTTAATAAAATTACTTTCCATGATTTTTTTTAGATCAGTGGTCCCCAAACTGTGGCCCAGGGGCTAGATGCGGCCTTTTGCTTGCTTTTATTTGGCCCTTGGGACAGTAGTATTTCATCCACTGACACCAACAATGGGGCACAGTTCCTCCCACTGACACCAATAAAGGTGTATTTTTTCCCATTGATGTCAGGACCTTTTCTACTCCTACTTGTCACAGTCCAGCCCCCCTAAATTCTGAAAGACAGTAAACTGGCCCTTTGTTCAGAAAGGGAAACAAAGTGCTTCCAGCAGCTATCTCCACTGGTAATAGCTGGTTGTGCAGACACCCTCAAATATCTGCAGTCTCCTGCGACTTGTTGTTAAAGTGAACAAGGCCATCAGCTGCACCTAGCTGCTACCTGCTGCTATAATTCACATTGGCCCTAATCACCAGTGTTAATGTAGGCCCAGTGTGTAAATATCAGCACCACAATTATCCACTTCATAAGGTTAAAAGTTTGTTTTTATATAACATTGGCAATTCACTCTGTTTAGGATTAATGTCTCTGTAGTGACTAAGACCATGCTTGGGTGAAGCACATAATCTGAGTGAATTGCCTGTAATGACTTTAAACTCTTCAATAAAAACAGAGATTGTATTAACAGTTTGCTACTTTGAGATGCTGGAGCCTATATACTTAATCCAGTAGGCTATGTTTTGTTGCATCTGGCTGAGGGATAGCAATCTACTTTAAATATGAATGAAATATCTTCCTATTTTGTGGCTGTCCCCAGCCTAGCAACATTTTCTGCCTTTCCCAATTCTTGGGTTCCAGCCAAGAGAGAGGAAGAGATGCAGAAAGTGTCCACTTTTCGTATAAAGAGGAAAGCGCTTGTAAGCTTTTGGGGTTGAGAAAGATGTTCTGTCATGTGATATTACTTTGACAGATGACCTTCCCACCTTTTTCCTTCTTCCTCCCCAAACATATTCATAGGCGTTATGACTGCCACCTGGAATCTATCCTTCATGAGAAAATGTATTTATTATGAGAAATTAATTGAATTAAATGTTACACTGTTGTATGCGCACAACCTAATTTGCCTATTTATATTTCTTTTTTAGGCTGGAGGAAACCTCGAATCTTCTGAAATATTCAACTACTTCCTAGTACTTAACAATTTCTTTTAACAAGCTATTGTACAATTTTTTTTTGTCCTGAAATATGTAAAATAAAGTATTTTTATAAGTATTTAAAACATTTTTGCTCTATAAATCACAGCTCAGGTCTATGACATTTTTATATCTCTATCACATACCGGGTCACAGTTGTAATCCTAGCTAACAGGGAGCTGTGCTCTGATTTTTATTATGGGTGTAGGGTGACATCTGTCCTTCTCTGCAACTGGTAATAAGAAAAAGTAAGAGTTCTGTGCTGTAAGTAAAACCACAATTTCAAAGGTATTGAAAAAATATTAAATATTCTGAGAGTGTTATTTTCACACCTTGCCCATATGTCAGACAGATTTCTTAAAATTTTCAGTTTTTTTTCCCTAAAAATAAAAAGTACAATGCTAAAATAACAATTTCCTTATGATATGACGCCTGGTGTATCATGTTGGCTATGTACAGTATATATTTTTGAGAGGCCTGCTTTTGTATATTAACATACACACTGGCATGTGCACACAAGTAATCAGACAGCACAAATAGTGATGTTGGCGTGCAAAGTAAAACAAGCAAACAAATTTCCATTTACTAAAGTCAGATCAATGAAAGGATAAGTGCAGTGGATTAGTGCCCTTTACAAATGTTCTCTTTGGTTTATCAAAAACATACATGCATTTGTTTTTAATCTGCCAAAGATACCAGTCAAACTGCAAAGCTAGGTATGTACATAAATAGATAATGCTGCACTTATATAGTGAAATATCCCATCTCAAACACATTCATTGAGTAATCCGAAAAACAAAATTAGTGCTTAAGAACCTCTTTATAAAAATGATACATCCAGCTATAAAAGAAATACTCATAAAACCAGTAACAGAAAAAGTCCAGTGCATCAAAATAAAAAAGTCCATCACCTTAGAGCAGCGGTTCTCAACCTGTGGGTCGCGACCCCTTTGGGGGTCGAACAACCCTTTCACAGGGGTCTCCTAAGACCATCGGAAAACACATATTTCCGATGGTCTTAGGAACTGAGACACCGCTCCTCTATCAGTCTCCAGGCGGGTCCACCCACATGCAGATACGCCCACATTTCCCTGGACCGCGATGTGTGCGCGGGATGACATGCCACCCCTGTCATCTGGCCACATCCCTGGGATCACTCAACAGCTCCGCCTCCTCACCAGTGATTGGCCGCCGGAACTGTAGCTCAGGAGAGGCACACACAGGCGGCCAATCACCGGCGAGGAGGTGGCGCTTGGAGAGGAGGAGCCAAGCAGCAGCGCGAAGATCAAAGAAGATCGAGCGAGGGAGCGGCCGGAGAAGGAAAAACAGCTGACAGGTAAGTGTCTGTAGCGTGCAGATGGTGCTGCTGCAGCCAGGTATGCTGGCTGTGATTGAGGGAGTGAGCCCAGGGAGGGAGCGTAAGCCCATTGGGCAGTGAGCAGGAATAGTGTCAGTAAGGTAACTGACACCAATGATGGGGCACATTGGTGTCACGTGGGGGAATAGTCCTCCCCCCACTCATTGGTCACTATTCCTCCCCCCTACCTGACACCAATGATGGGGCACTATTCCTCCCACCCCACTGACACCAATGATGGGGTGACACCAATGATGGGGCACAATTCCCCCCACACTAGTATCAATGATGGGGCACTATTTCCCCCCCCCCCCCCACTGACACCAATGATGGGGCACTATTCCTCCCACACTGACACCAATGACGGGGCACTATTCCTCCCACTGACACCAACAATGTGGCACTATTCCTCCCACTGATACCAATGATGGGACACTATTCCTCCCACTGATACCAATGATGGGACACTATTCCTCCCACTGACATCAGTGATGAGGCACTACTCCTCTCACTGACACCAATGATGGGGCACTATTCCTCCCACTGACATCAGTGATGTGGCACTACTCCTCTCACTGACACCAATGATGTGGCACTACTCCTCCCACTGCAAAATTACAGTTATGAAGTAGCAACAAAAATTATTTTATGGTTGGGGGTCACCACAACATGAGGAACTGTATTAAAGGGTCGCGGTATTAGGAAGGTTGAGAACCACTGCCTTAGAGCAGCGTTTTTCAACCACTGTGCCGCGGCACACTAGTGTGCCGTGAGATATTGTCTGGTGTGCCGTGGGAAAAATTGCAATTTTCATCCGTAACATGTGGCCTCGGCTCACAAATGACCAATCATTAGAACAGCAATGGGCAAACTACGGCCCGGCGGACCTTTTAATCCGGCCCGCGGAGCGTGATACTGTCAGGATGATCTGTCCCCCTCGACGTATCTGCGCATGTGCCGGAGATCGCCGATCGGCTGCTAATGCCTGAAACTGGCACATGCGCAGATACGTGGAGGGGGACAGATCCTCATAGGAGACAGATTTTTCATGCACCGGAACGGCGAGAGGAACGCGCGGAGCAAAGGTAAGTGAATTGACACGGGGGGGCTTGGGGACTTAATATGGGGGGTGAATTAATATGGGGGATGAATTACTATATGGGGGATGAATTACTATGGGGGATGAATTACTATAGGGGGGATGAATTACTATATGGGGGATTAATTACTATGGGGGATGAATTACTATGGGGGATGAATTACTATATGGGGGATTAATTACTATGGGGGATGAATTACTATATGGGATGAATTACTATATGGGGGATTAATTACTATGCTTACTATGGGGGAATATTACTATACTTACTATGGATGACACATACACATCATTCATCTACTCTTGGTCCGGCCCCCCGGGTCCAATATATGAACCCATTGCGGCCCTCAAGTCAAAAAGTTTTTCAATAAATTTTTTTAACATTTTCTAATGGTGGTGTGCCTCGTAATTTTTTTCATGAAAAAAGTGTGCCTTTGCACAAAAAAGGTTGAAAAACACTGCCTTAGAGGATCTTCCACTTCCAGGAAAACATCTGTGACTATAGGACAATTCACAAAGCGGTATCTTATCCCATCCAAGTATGTGGTAAGGTATTGCACAAAAAGTTTGTTGGCATTCACTAAAAAAACGCTACTACGCGTTATTTTATGACGTCATGCAGTGTTTTAATAGTGAAAACATGCAGTTCCCTGCTGACAGCTTAGTGGAAAAAAAAAACGAATTGCTGCTTTAAAAATGAAGGGAAAAAGCTGCATAGCCCCCCCCCCCCCCCCCCCCCATCTCTACCAGGCCCTTATCTGAGCATGCAGGTCAGGAATGGGGGGTCAGAGATGAACGAATGCCCCCTCCCTTCCTGAACCACACCAGGCTACATGCCCTCAACATGGGGGGGGGTGGGGACGACGACAAGGGTCTCTTCTCCACAACCCTGGCCAGTGGTTGTGGGAGGCTTATCAGAATCTGCCTGCCTGGTGTAGCTGCAGCAGGAACACAGCTGAGATGGAGAACATACCTCAGTCTGCTGTTCAGACATTAAGCCTGGGTTCGCACTGATGCGGTGCGAAATTTGCAGCAGTTTCTGTGCGATTTCCGCATCACAGCACAATCGCACCCCAGTCACACGAAACTTTGCGGGTGTGTATTTTAAGTTAACGACACCCCAAAATCCGTTCGCAAAAACGCGCTGCGCTTTGCATAATCGGTTTGCTTGGTTGTGAACACCCAAGCGATCCGATTCTAGTGTGGACAAAAAAGAAAGGCCTGCACCTTTTTGGTGCGAATGTGGTGCGATTTTAAACCATACAAAATGTATGGCTCGAATTGCACCACACAGAATTTGCATGTGATTTGCACAGGAATGTGGTGCGGCTCCTGTATGACTCACATGTGATATGTTGCACCACACAAGTGTGATCCAAGACTCAAGGAGGCGCAACAAAAAAACAAACAAAAATGAGATCCCATGTGAAGTTTAGCAAATGGCATATGGGAGACACAGCAAGCATAGAAACGGTTCTCTGGTTTGAGGAGACCACAGTGGAACTTTTTGGCATCTGTGCAAAATGCTGTGTTGGGGGAAAGGTAACACTGTATCACTTTAAAGCACCATTGCCACAGTGGAGCATAACAATGTTAGTATTGCTATGAGGATGCTCTTTTATCGGTAGGGACTAGAAAACTGATCAGAATTGAGAACAAGTTGGATGAACTCAAATATTGTTTCAGTCTGTAAGAAGTAAGAAACTGGAGATGTTCAAACTCCTGCAGGAAAATACTCTACACACAAATTTAGATCTGCACTGTTGTTTAAAACCAAGAATATGAATGTCTAAGTGGCCATACATTATACAATCTTATTGTACAATTTTCCTTTAGATTTGCCAAAAACCATAAAATATGAGGTCAAACCTAAACAACACTTTCAATTTGTATGCAATCAGACAGGCCCTTGCACTACATACAGTAGTTTAATCTAAAGGAGATTGTACAAGAAAATTGTATGATACATGGCCAGCCTTAGAATGGCCTGTCAAAGCCTTGAGATCAATACAAGTGATAACCTGTGGCAAGACTTACAAATAGCTGCTCATCAATGGCTCCCAGCCATACACTAGAGCAACTCTGCCAAGAAGGACAAAATAGCAGGACCTGGGGATACAAAACTGCTAGACTGTTCTCCCAAAAGACTGATAGCTGTAAAATATGCAGTCAGAGGTGATTCTACCAACTATAATAGTCAGGGTGGTCCAAAAAAAATCTCCTTTTTTAATTAAAGTGATTCCAAAGCTAAAAACTTTTTTTTTTTTTTTACCTTAACCACTTCAAGTCCGGACACTTTTACCCCATTCCTGTCCAGGCCAATTTTCAGCTTTCAGTACTATCACACTTTGAATGACAATGCGCGGTCATGCAACACTGTACCCATATGACTTTTTTAGCATTTTTTGAGACACATAAAGCTTTATTTTGGTGGTATTTATTCAGCACTGGGATTTTTATTTTTTTACTATATAAATAAAAAAGTCCAAAAAAATAAATAATATTTCTTCATAAATCTTGGTCAACATTTATTCAGTTATCT